GGGAAGCGGAGCCGCGCCCGGAGCGACCTCGGTGGCCGGGATCCCCCCCTCTGCCGCGGCCGCCGCGGCCGCCGGGGTGCTGCTCTCGCACTCGGCCTTCTGGGACCCCACCACCAGCGGCGACTGGGACGGAGAGAGGCCGAGCGCCGCCTGCCTGCTCCGCATCAAACGGTGAGGAAGAGGAACTTGGGAGTCCGGGCGGCAGCGCGCACGCGCCGGTCGCGCCACTGTTCCTCTGGGCGTGTACAGAGTGCTTATCGCTCTCTGCGCCCTGGAACCGTCCCGTGGTTCTTGTGCGGGGGCGGAGAGGAAAGGCTTTCGATCTCTTGGCCCGGTCAAGGTCATTTTTTACAGTGGGACTTTATTTTGGTTTTTCAAGGCTGTGCTTTGCACGGAATTGGAGTGTGTAGGAATGGCTGTTATTGTCCGTAGCTTAAGAAGGGTGGACGAGGCAGATACACGAAAGAGAAGGCCTACCAATGGCTACGAGCCACAATGACTAAAGTGAACCTCTGAACACCAGTGCTGGGTGGGGGGCCTGTATCATATTTGGCTTGTGAACCCCACTGCCGAAAGATGTGGCAGCAGCCATTGGGACAGAAAGATTTGAAAAGGGCATAGACTGATTCATGGAGGAGAGAGGTCTGTCAGTGGCTATGTGTCAAGATGACTAAAGGGAATTTCCATGTTTGAAGGCAAAATGTCAATGCAAGGAAGCCATATGGGGGGCTGGGAAACCTTGGCCTTACTTCTTAGTTGGTCCTCCAGGGCCAACAGCTGGTTGGTCATTGTATAAAAGAAGAATGCTGGACTAGGTGGCAAACGGGCCTCATCCAGTAGAGCTCTGGCTCTTGCTAGGTTCTGACGTTTTATTCAATTGCTGTTGCTCTTTCAGTGGGGAGATGTAAGGATGGGGACGAGCTATGCTTATGAGGCTTTTGTATGCTGCACAGCTGTTAAAGAAAGAAGGGAATGGCCACTGTGAACACCGAGTAAGAAAAAAAATCAGCAGGATCAGGTCCCTTAGTGTGCTGGCACTGAAGTTATGTGATGCCCTCCTAGGAACCATGAATCGATGATGAGAGAGTTCTTCCCTCTCTTCCTGCCCTCTTCTGAGCCTGTAAATTTCCAGTGTAGAAACCATAATCGGTAGTTTTATGGCACCTGTTTTATTTCAGCATAAGCATTCAGGGACTAAGCCTGCTTCTTCAGACGCAGGAATGGATCGTCAGATGTCTGCATGGCAGGAAGAGGTGGGCTGTAATCCTCAAAACCTCATGCTGGCATAAATGTTATTAAGGTGACCCTGGACTCCTGTTTGTCGTTGCTTTTTCCCTGCAGCTGACTAACATGGCTACTCCTCAGGATTGATTTGCCTGTAGGAAGGGACACCCCTTTGGATGGTTTCCACCTCAGCCTCAGTTTCCTCGTTTTTTATTGGGTGAACAGATGGTGTATAATATCATGTTTTAAGGCTTCGTCTCCCTTCCGCAAGGTACTAATTTTGTCCCTCGCCCACATATTTGCTTTTACAAACACACAGTGTTGCTTTTCTGAAGGCAATAAGGCAGCTCCCTTCCATTTCCTGGAATTGGTACACAGCCAGCCACAGAACCTCTGCTGTTCAACAGCCATACTCCCATCCCTCTTGGGTTCCCCTTCCTTGCTTTGCATGCAGTAAGAAGTCATCGCTCTTTGCTTGGAGGGTCTTTCTTCCACAGTGGAAATGGAGTGTTCTCCTAGTGAGACAAGACTGTTCACAACAGCTCCCGTAAAACTGTGGTACTTGGCTAGCCTGATCTCATCACATCTCAGAAGCTAAGCAGGGTTGATCCTGACTAGTATTTGGTTGGGAGGCCACCAAGGAATACCAGGGTTCTGATGCTAAGGCAGGCAGTGGCAATCCAACCTCTGAATGTCTCTTGCCTTGAAAACCTTATGGGTTCACTATAGGTCAGCTGTGACTTGACAGCAAAAACAACAACAACAAATGAGCTCTTTAAGCTGTTCTTCCCGTTTTTCTGCCAGAAATCAAATATGAAATGTAGGAAAACAACTTACATTATGTACCCCAGGTGCTCCATATTAATTCAGAAGCTGTCAACACACTCAAACATGGTTTCCAGTTCATATTCAGTAATGCAAATTGAAATCTCCTGTTTGCCTACATCAGTGCATTAAAAGGTGGGTGGGTTTTTAAAGAGATCTATGGGGTTTGAAAGAGTAAAAGTAACTTGTTTGCACTGATAGATGGTCAAGCTGTGTTGGTCTGAAGCAGTAGAACAAATTTAGAGTTCAGTGGCACCTTTAAGACCAACAAAGGTTTATTCAGGGTACGAGCATTCATGTGCAAGGCACACGTTTTCAATGTATTTTCCAGTGTATTTGGAAAAGTGTGCATTGCACACGAAAGCTCATACCTTGAATAAACTTTTGTTTGAACTGAGTGATCCTGACTGAGATGGAATTTGAATCCAGGCCACTGAGAGCCAAGCCGAGCACTTTGTGACATTGGGTTGTGCCGTCTTCTTTTGTGCAGTGCTTAAGCGTGCTGTTAGGACTGAAGTGAAACGTTTCTATAAAACTTTTCATCTTATGATAAAGTGCCACACCCAACATGCCCATTAAAATACAGCAGCAAATGAAAGATCCATGGATGCAGGGTTGTGAAACCTGTAGACTCCACATCTTATACTCCCTGGAAGCATTACGAATTGCAGTATTTGATCTATTTTTAATTTGTTCAGCATATTTATCTTCTGCTTTCCACTCCAGGAGGGACCCAAAGCCACTAACGATGCAGAGAGGGAAAAAACCAGACCAAACAAGAAAGTCAGGGGAGGCTTCTGGTGGAGTATTTGATCTATTTTTAATTTGTTCAGCATATTTATCTTCTGCTTTCCACTCCAGGAGGGACCCAAAGCCACTAATGATGCAGAGAGGGAAAAAACCAGACCAAACAAGAAAGTCAGGAGAGGCTTCTGGTGGACAAGCAGGTCTCTGTCTGCCGGCTGATCTGCTGATCTCTAGGCCCAGGTCTCAGGCTAACAGCTGAAGGACAAAGAGGCCTTAGGCTCTGGGCGCGGTCAGGCCTTATATAGCAGTTTGCAGAATGGAGAACAGATACAGCGAGGTGTATTTCAGCTGCTGCTAGCAGTATGATCACCAGCTCCTCCCCTGCCTCAATAGAAAAGGCGGTGTTCCATTGCAGTGGGAATTTATTGCCTTAACCCACAGGCAGAAGGCAGCGACAGAGGGAGACAGTCAAAGCTCCCTGGGGAGGGAGTTCCAGGGTTTCAGCACCACGGCCGAGAAGGCCCTTTCTTGGGTTGCCACCTGGCTAGCCTTGGATGGGGACAGGGAACGTCTGAACATGAGTGGAATGGTCAGGTTAGGTCCATATGGGAGTTGGAGAGTCCATAAGGTATGCTGGCTCCAAGCTGTCTAGGGTTTTAGAGTTCACTAACAGCACCTTGGATTGGGCCCAGATGCAAACTGAGAACCAGCATAGATGGAGCAAGATGTGGTCTCTACAACCTACTGCAGCATTCTGTATCGACTGTCATTTCAAAGGCAGCCCCACATAGAGTGTGTTGCAGTAATCTAGTTTAATTTTTAGCAGTACAGTAGCAAGATCTTTTCTGCCTGGAAGAACCAGCTGAAGCTGATGAAAGGTGCCCCTGGCCACCTCTGCTATTGGTTTTGCCAAACCCTGCTGCGCTGTGCTTGCTTGGGTTGCGATAATTCCGGGGGGGGGAGGGGATTCCTGAGGGGGGGAATGAGTGTGTGCGGGAGTGAATGAGACCTTTGCTTCTAGAAGATGTAACTTTTCCAGAAGTCATCTTCTCCTGTTTTGCTTTCCCAGGGGAAGGTGGCCTTGAACACATTCCTGTGCCATCTTGGACTCTAGATTACCAGGACATATATCTCTCCTGGTTAGCATGGCAATATTACACAGAGTATGTATGTGACATATGCTGGGGGGGGATGAATGGGACCTGCTTGAATTTTCTATAATAATTCTAGAATAGATTCTACCTGCCAAAAATCTTCAGTTCTAACACAGTGGCTTTCTGGATCTTGCATATAACTCAATAAACTTTCACTGCCTAAAGAGAGTTGTTGAGTGTAACTGGACTGGGAATCTGACAGGTTTATGTGACGGAAGACTCCCACCAATAACATCTCTGTTTCGCTGGGCTTAAGTTTCAGCTTGTTAGCCCTCAACCATCCCAAAAGTGCCTCCAGGCATCTGTCCACAGTTTCCACAGCCTCCCTGGGAAATGCCTCTCTTTAGCACAAATGGATCTCCCATGTTGAATCTCTCCCAGTCATGCTGACTACGGAGGCCAAAATCACGCTCAGACAATGCTCCCTCTAAAGTGTGGAGTCTTGTGAGCAAAAATTCTACTTTGCGAGCTACTGGCATTAAAGTTGTGAGTGAGCAATTTGGCTGCTGCATAAATTAGTTTGCTCTGGAGCCAGAGGCTAAAAACCTGTGAGCTAGCTCACACTAACTCAGAGGGAACACTGCGCTCAAGAGAGTCTGGAGAGATACATGAATGAGATGCTGTCCAGTAACCCTAACCTTACTCAGCGGATAGGGTTTTTTTCTCTTCGTTCCAGCTCCAGGAACTTCTGTTGGCTTCTTTTAAAAGCGGGGAAATTAGCCAGGGGAAAGCCCAAGATGATCTAGGCTGGGTCTCATAATAAAAGCAGGGAGCACTGACACCAGGCCTTACGCAATCCCAGAAACAAAAGCTTTATTGTCGGCATGAGCCGAGGAGCACTGAACGAAAGTGAATGTGAAGCAGACTTCCTTTCCCAAAGTGTGGTGTGGTGGGGCTCCTCCCCGCTCCTTTAACAGGGTGCGGCGTTCTTTTATGTCCCGAGGAGATGATCTGTGCCAGGTTGGCGTGTGCATTGGAAGGTCTGCAGTTTTTCCATTTCTACTGCACACTGTTGACATAATTTCCTGGTAGGGCAGGAGGTGCCACTTCATGGCAGCCCCATCGTCCATTGTTAAGTGGGAAGGAAGCAGAGGCTCTTAAAGTGAGCTGGAGACTGTCAGCAGTGACTTAATGCGCAGGCGTGTGCTTGTTCAGTGCCATTCAAGTGAAGAACACCTTTCCTTGGCAATGGACCTAACTTGCTAAGAGCAAAGGATGGGTCTGAGAGACTTCTTTAACAGACCGGAGTGGCTGTGAGTTCGTGCCCAAGAGCAAGGAGATAGTTAAGGGGTTTGGAGTGCCTTTCCTGTGGGGGAGGGCAAAAGAGAGTGGGGCTTTCCAGGTTAGGAAAAAGATGGCAGAGGAGGGGACATAATAAAGGTTTGTAAAATTACACACAGGGAAGAAGAGAGGGTAGATAGACCTTTTTCTCCCTCTCCCAAAACACTAGATCTTGAGCTCCACCCCACCCAGGATACTCATGGACAATAGATGCAGTACGGACAAAAGAAAATACTGCTTTAATCGATATGGGATTAAAATATAGCATTTTCTGCCAGAGGACTTCGTGATGATCACGAGCACAGACGTCTGAAAAAAGGGATTAGATAAATTCATGGAGCAGAGGTCCATCAGTGGCTACTAGCTACAGTGACTAAAAGGACGCTCCAGAAGCAATAAACCTCTAAATAGCAGTGCTAGGAGGCAGTTTCGGGGGAAGGCCTTGGCCCCCATGCCCTGTTGTTGGCCCTCCAGAATAACTGGTTGGCCACGGCATGAAATATGATGCCAGACTAGATGGACCACCGGTCTGATCCAGCAAGGCTTTTCTTGCAGTGTTTATGTTACCTTCTGGACTCAAGCGGAGAGCCAAAGCCCACGTTGTAATATTTGCAAAACATCACCCTTGGTACATTTCCTTCTCCCCTCCCTGAGCAATGTTGCAGGGTGGGCTTGTTCTGGGGACCACCCTCAATGCACGACACACCAGGGGGCAAGGCGAACCAGTTCATTGGTCAAAAGGGCCAAGTGTAAGAATAGTGCAATGTGTGGCAAAGGGGAGGACATCTTTAAAATGAGCATAATATGCTTCAGAAGTTAGTTACTGGAGAGGGCAAGTCTTTATCTTGGTCTTTTACAGGTTTTAGGGCAGATTTGCCTGTTTGAAGCCATGAGGACTTGCAGTGATGGCGAACCTTTTAGAGACAGTGCCCAAACTGCGACCCAAAACCCACTTATTTATCGCAAAGTGCCAACACGGCAATTTAACCTGAATACTGAGGTGTTACTTTAGAAAAAACAACTCATACATTAAGTTAAGATGATCCAAACAAAGTAAGGAAAGCAATCCCAAATGCTTTCATTTACTTAAAATTATTTGGCAGAGAATTCGACACTTTAATGATGGTCTGGGCCTGGCTGCGGTGATGGCACGCGTGCCCGCAGAGAGGGCTCTGAGTGCCACCTCTGGCACCCATGCCATAGGTTCGCCACCACTGATAGAGTGTCCTTTTTGGGGAGGGGTTGTTTGTATTAAACATCGTTCCCCCCATCACCTCAGGAATAAGCTTTGGGGGTTGGGATTCAAGGCTGACCGCGGCCCAGCTTGGGATCTGCCGACACTTTAATGATGGTCTGGACCTGGCTGGGGTGATGGCATGCGTGCCCGCAGAGAGGGCTCAGAGTGCCACCTCTGGCACCCGTGCCATAGGTTCGCCACCACTGTTACAGTGTCCTTTTCGGGGAGGGGTTGTGTGTATTAAACATCGTTCCCCACCACCACCTCAGAAATAAGCTTTGTGGGTTGGGATTCAAGGCTGACTGCAGCCCAGCTTGGGATCTGTGAGAGCTCTACCAGGATCCTTACCAACTGCTGCGTTTCCTGTTTTTGTTTCCCCAGAGATATCATGTCGATTTATAAGGAGCCACCTCCCGGAATGTTTGTTGTGCCTGACCCCCACGATATGACCAAGGTAGGTCCGAACGCCACCCTTTGCCATGTCCTCCTGCTGGAGGGGGGTTCCCTGCTGGTCACCGAGGGAGGCTGGCGTGTCGCCCTCCACCCTTCCAGGGCCTAAAACCCCATTTAAGTCAGCAGCCGGTGGGAAGAGCAGGAGAGGAACAGCCACCAATGCTCCCTCTAAGCTGTGGAGTCCTGTGAGCAAAATTTCTACTTTGTGAGCTACCAGCATTAAAGTTGTGAGCAGGAGATTTGGCTGCTGCATAAATTAGTTTGCTCTGGAGCCATCCTTCCTGAGCAAAGACAAAAATGCGTCAGCCGGAGGCTAAAAAACTGTGAGCTAGCTCACACTAACTCAGCTTAGAGGGAACAAGTGGAGAAGTTAGGTAAAGCGATGTTTGCACAAAGTTTCTTCACCCTAACACACATGCGTGGTACTCTAGATACAGCAAACAGCACATCGAAGAACAAGGAGTTTGCTAACTAGTATAGTAGGAAGCAGGCGCTGGATAAGACAAGAATGCTAGGAAATGTTGAAGGCAGCAGGAAAAGAGGAAGAACCTACATGAGGTGGATTGACTTAATACAGGAAGCCACGGCCTTACGCTTACAAGACTTGCGCAAGGCTGTTAGCGACAGAACATTTTGGAGATGGTTAATTTGCAGGGCTGCCGTAAGTCAGAAGCGACCTGATGGTGCCCAGCACACAAACTCATAGTGGGAAGCACATGCTATTTCTTGCCATTTCTAAGTGTCCTAGGCGCTGTGTGTAGATAAGAATAAGGCACAGGATGGACCTGACCGAGATAGCCCAGGCAAGCTCGGTCTTGTCAGATCTCGGAAGCTAAGCAGGGCCGACCCTGGCAAGTATTTGGATGGGAGACCTCCAGAGAATACCAGGGCCGGGAGGCAGAGACAGGCTGTATCAAGCCGCTTCTCTGAATGTCCTCCCTGCCCCAGTAGGAGTCGCCAGAGGTCGCCGCACCTTCCAGGCACTGGCACACGCACACAAATGCAAAAATACAATAATAATAATAATGAGACACAGGCTCTCAGGTTTATAATCTCAAAGGTGTACAGGGGACGATGAGAGCCAGCAGCGGTGTCGTGGCCAGTGCCAGATTAGCACTCAAGAGACCCAGGTTCAGAAGCCACATTCAGGCACAGTTGGCAGACTAGCTTCCCAAACTGGAGAGCCAGTTTGGTGTAGTGGTTAAGAGTGCAGACGTGGGAGAACCGGGTTTGATTCCCCACTCCTCCACATGCAGCTGCTGCTGTGATCTTGGGTCAGTCATAAATTCTTCCAGAGCTGTTCTCTCAAGGACAGTTCTTGAGAGAGCTCTCTCTGCCCCCCTCACAGTGTGTCTGTTTTGGGGAGGGGAGGGGAAGGGAAAGGAGATTGGAAGCCATCCTGAGACTACTTTGGGGTGAAGGACGGGGTATAAGTCCAATCTCTTCTCTCTTCTTCTTTGTCCTGCCAGCCCCACTTGTCCCACTTGAGATTGATCCTCCTCTTTCCTCCTGTTCCCTCCCAATCAAGCTGATGGCTTTTTCTCTTTGCAAAGGCGCAGGGAAAAATGTTTTTTCTACCCCTGACTTCCTGTAGCCTTTTTGAGTGAGTGGTTGATGTAGTCCTAATTCCCGATCATGGGAACGCCCCAGGATGTTTTCGGCATGTGTCAAAGAGGCCATTCCAATCTCTTCTCTCTTCTTCTTTGTCCTGCCAGCCCCACTTGTCCCACTTGAGATTGATCCTCCTCTTTCCTCCTGTTCCCTCCCAATCAAGCTGATGGCTTTTCTCTTTGCAAAGGTGCAGGGAAAAATGCCCCCCCCCCGACTTCATGTAGCCTTTTTGAGTGAGTGGTTGATGTGATCCTAATTCCCAATCATGGGAACGCCCCAGGATGTTTTTGACATGTGTCAAAGAGGCCGTTCACCTCCAGGAACGCTTTTGGAAATGGTCTGAGCCAAGAGAGGAAAGACCGGTGGAATAGCTCATGACCATTTTGTATGTATCACTTGCCACCAAAGATAATCCACATGAGTCAGTCAAAGATTGGAGGGTCAAATACTGCAAAACATGAAAATGGTAACGTGAAAAAGATGTTAGTCTTACAGTACATCTGACACTTCTGCCATCTCCAGTCTTAGTATATTGCCCATCTCAGTTGCCACGGCCGTCTAGTTGAAGGTCAAGTGAGAGGTTAATTCATGCAAACACCAGACGGTGTGCTAAATGGTTGCGGGATGTACCACTTTGGACAACAGGTGGCAGGACTGCATGTTTGAGAGCTTCCCTATACAAAGAAATGCTGTGGGTCGGATCCAACCAGACTTTAGTGATAGTGAAAAAGGCAGGTGGAGTCCCCATAGAGCACCAAACTGGCTGTGCTGGGCATTGCAGGGTCTGAATGGGCAGAAGCCAGGTGGACCATGGTAAGGAGGGGGATGCTGGGCAAGAGGAAGTGAAAAATTCTTTGTATGTAACAAAAAGAGTACAAGGCCCTGACCGGGATAGCCCAGGCAAGCCCGATCTCGTCAGATCTCAGAAGTTAAGCAGGGCTGACCCTGGCAAGGACTTGGGTGGGAGACCTCCAAGGAATACCCGGGCTAGGAGGCAGAGACAGGCAACAGTAAGCCACCTTTCTGAAACATCCAAGCCCCACTAGGGGTCACCAGAAGTCAACCATGACACACACAAAATACTCACCCCGACGAAGAAAAAAACACCCCCCCCCCCCCCCAAAGACCTAGTATACTGAGTAGAAGGCTGTCCCTGGCCAGTTTGCCATTCTCTTTCACAACAGGGGCTTTTTTGTTGTTGTTTTTCCCTGCTTCATACGCATTCAGTACGCAGTCCTCTGGAAAGAGTTTACCCCAACGTGTGCTGTTTGTGTGGGTGAGGCCCTTGACTTGAATCCAAGGCGTTTGCCGCCCCCCCTTTACCTCTCGTGGACGCCAGCGCTGCCTTTGACTCTTGTCTTGGGGGTCAGCTTGCGTTCCGCACGGGCTTGGCCAGCCGGTGCCACAAGCCAGTTGGAAGAGTTTGCGCGAGCTGGGCTTTTCTCTTGCAGATTCATGCGTTGATCACAGGGCCCTTTGACACGCCTTACGAAGGGGGTTTCTTCTTGTTCCTGTTTCGCTGTCCTCCAGATTATCCCATCCATCCGCCACGGGTCAAGCTGATGACAACCGGGAATAACACAGTGAGGTTTAACCCTAATTTCTACCGCAATGGGAAGGTCTGCCTCAGTATTCTAGGGTAAGGAGCGGAACAACCTGAGCTGTTTTCACAGGGGCAGCCACGGTGGGTCCTTCGGGGAGTTCCGCACTTTTGCATGCCGCCGAAAGGCCCGTCTTTCCAAGGAGTTGTGTGTCTTCTCACGCATTGGCTTGTTGGGTCACGCCTTGGATCCTGTTGAACACCCATATGGATAGTTAATTCAGGGGTTTTATGAATTGCGTCGATTGCCCTCTCGTAGTACGTTTAATTAATTGTCCTATGTTTTTAATGGTTTTAATCAGGGCACTTTTTCTTTTTCTTTTTTTGGAAAAAGAGGTGCCAGAACTCTCAGGAGGGAAATGTTTTCAATCTGTATACTGAAAACTCATGAGCTTTTTAACGTTTTAAAAAGAATTTTGCTGAAGAGGTTCCAGAGCTCCGTTCCGGCGCATTCCCCCGGGGGAAAAAAGCCCTGGTTTTAATTACTGCATAATAGTTGTTTTGTCATCATTGCTGTAATCAGCCCTGAGCCCTGCTGTGCGGGGGAGGGCAGACTAGAAATGCAATAAATATAATAAGATAATCTACGGTAGGGAGAAAGGTGTGGCTATCCAGACCGGAGGTGCGGCTACTCAGGCCCAAGTAGTGTGGGTTTCCTTGAAGCGACTGGAGTGCCATGGGGGAGATGACTGAAGAGGTAGGCAAGGCTAGCCTGTCCTAATACAGACATTGTCTTTGTCGCCTTCTGATTGCATCCTGAATAAGTCTCCTGCCACTCCACTCAGCGAAGCTTGAAGCCTTCCACTGGCAGAAGGAGACGTCCTCTGCTGCAAGAGACTCCAAGGAAGACTCTTAATGCTCTATACTCAGCTGGGCCAAGTGTTAGAATACAGCCTGGTTCGCCGTTTGATCCCACTCCTCTGCTCAGCAAAGCATGGAGCCTTCTCCAGCATTAAAAACCTTCCTCTGCTTCTCTTGCAGCGGCAAAGGGCTGATTCTGCCAGCGGAAAGCTCCATACTTAGCCGCAGGGCTTTTTTTGTAGAAAAAGCCCAGCAGGAACTTATTAGCATAATAGGCCATACCCATGACAGCACAGCTCATTAGCATATTAGGCCACAACCCCATATTACCAGAAGTGTGCTCATCCAGCCACACCCACCTTTTGCTTCTTATTCTGTTTACCTTGTTTGTTGTCAAAACCCAGGGCTTTTTTGTAGCAGGAACTCCTTTGCATGTTAGGTCACACACCCCTAATGTAGCCAATCCTAATGAGTTCCTGCTGCTGGGTGTGGCCAACTTGGGAGCCAGTCGGAACTCCATTCCTATGCGTTCCTGCCCAAAAATAGCCCTGCTTAGCCGAGGCAGAATGGTAGGATCTGATCTCTTACTGAGTGGTATTCTACCAGTCGGCCCAGCTAAATTCAGAGCTTTCCTCTGGCATAAAGGGACTTCCTCTGAGTCTCTGGTGATGGAGGGGAAGGCTCCTTCTGCCAGCAGACGGCTCCATACTCAGTTCAGGCAAAGCAAGAGGGTGCATGCCACAGTCTTTCAAGCATCGTCTGTTGCAAGAAACACTTCATACTCATGTGTCCAGCCGGCAGTGCCTTCTGTAGCATCCAAAGCGGTTTTATTACGTAGCTTGGCAACCAGCAGCTTCTTAATTATCTTTTTTGTGTGCCTTGAGAGGACAAGAGTCGCCGGAAAAGACAATACTGCTAGGAAAAATTTAAGGTTGCGGGGAAAGAGGAAGATCCAACGTGAGAGGGACTGACTCAGTCAAGGAAGCCACGGGGCCCTCAGTTGGCAAGAGCTGAGAATGTCTGTTAACAATAGGACCTTTTGGAGGACATTAATTCATACGGTCGCCATACGTTGAAAGCAAATTTGATGGCACTGAACACACGCATGCCGGGGGTGTGTGCAGTGGGGCATTGCACTTCCTTTGAAAATTTGCATGCACACCCCCCCCCCATTTATAGTATGTGGATTTGACTTCCAGCTGTGTGAATCACAAGCCATTCAACCCAAAATACAACAGGGGACCCCTCTGGTGCAAAGTTGCACTGTATTCTTGGTGCGGGGGGAGGGGGCAACAGTGTGAGGGCTTCTAGTGTCCTGGCCCCACTGCTGGACCTCCTGATGGCACCTGGTGTTTTTGGCCACTGTGTGACAGAGTGTTGGACTGGATGGGCCATTGGCCCGATCCAGCATTGGCTTCTCTCTTATGTTCTAAAGTTTACCCAGGTGTGCTCAAGAAGGGAGTGAGCCCTAAAAGCGTGTTCATACTGAGCCTTGGAGGAAAATCCTACCAGGGACCGATCTGGCAATAGCGCCTCCAAAAATGAACTGAGCCCTTTATCCCACCCCACCCCCCTCCCCCGGTGTGAGCATTTGGTTGGAAAGGGTTTTGCATTTTCCAGGGCCTGCCTCTGTGACGGGTGGGGCTGTCTTGTTTTGTTCTCTGCCTCCAAGAAAGCTTCTGTCTTCCGTTTCCTGTTTGGCAAGGGGGAGCCCCAGGGGCCCGGCCCAGACTGTGCAGGCCTTCCCTTCAGCCCCCAGAATAACCACCTATCCAAAAATGGCTGGCTTGGGGTTTTTTTCCCCCCTTCATCCCTACCTGAGCCAAGGCCCAGACAAACTCTCTCTCCTCTCTCCAAGGTCAACAGCGGCTTTGGCAGAGCCTTCCCTCGCTCAGCTGCAGCATTCTGCCGCTTGTCTTTCCTGATGGGGAGGATGGCTCTTTGCTCCTGCCCACAGAGGCAGCGTTGCTGGTCTTTCCACTCCAGCTGGGTTCAAAACACAGCCCTGCATCCCTAACACAAGATCGCAGAGTAAAGGTGGAGAGTATGGGAGCTTCCAGGCAGAGTGACTTAAAAACCAGCCTCTTTCTCCTGTGACTGTGGCATGCACTGCAGTTGGGGCCCAGTCCCTTTTCGTGCGCCAGGAAGAGGAGTTGGCTGCTCTGTAGCAGAGGAGCACTTTCCTCCCAAGGTTTGGCAGCATGAATTTTTTCCTCATTGCTTAATTTACTATCTGCTGTCCCTCATTTTGTTGGGCAGGACTGGCTCTGGGCCCAAGTGCAGGTGACCCCTGGTGAATGAGCCCCTTGTTTTGTCCTGCAAGCAAAAGCAGGGATGCTTCAGTCACCCCCCCCTTTTCCCCCCTACGGCTGCAACTGGAAAGAAGGAAAAGGCTACTCTGTTAAAAGTGAGCCTTTCTTCTCCAGCTTCGGAACAAAACCAGCTTTTCCATGTTGAGTTCTCACTCTTCCATCTCAGGGTGAAAGCACGCTGTAGGTAAACGACTGAGGATTATGTCAGATGAATGACAGGAACCGATGAACAGACAGGGTGGGATGAAGTTGGTGCTGAACGACATGGTGACAGAGGGGAACCTCCACATTCTGAGGCACCAATCCTCTGAATCCCAGAGCCAGGGAGCAACATCGGGGGAGAGCCTCAGCCCCTATATGCCCTGTTGGTGGCCGTCCAGAGGAACTTATAGGTCACTGTGTGAGACAGGAAGCTGGACTAGATGGACCACTGGTCTGATCCAGCAGGGCTCTCCTTATGTTCTTTTGACAGCACAAAGCTGGTGGTGGAGGAAAGTGCCATCAAGTCACAGCCCACTTGTGGTAATCCCACAGGGTTTTCATGGCAAGGCACGTTCAGAGGTGGTTTGCCACTGCCTGCCTCTGCATCCCAACCCTGGTATTCCTTGGAGGTCTCCCATCCAAATACTAGCCAGGGCTGACCCTGCTTAGCTTCTGAACTCTGACGAGATTGGGGTAGCCTGGCCTATCCAGGTCTGGGCAACACACAAACCTAGCCATGAGGAAATCAAAATTTGTGACCTGCATCATTGTATCGACATTTGCATGTATCTGTTTGTTCCATATAGTCAATTGGGGAGTTATGCAGATAATCAAAGATCTTGGGGCTTGATCATTAGAACTATCAGTGGGACCCTGACCAGGCAAGCCCAATCTTGTCAGATCTTGGAAGCTAAGCAGCGCCGACCCTGGCAAATATTTGGACGGGAGACCTCCAAAGATTTACTGGGGCTGGGAGGCAGAGGCAGGCTTTCAAGCCTCTTCTCCGAACGTCCTCCGTGCTCCAGTAGGAATCTCCAGAGGTTGCCATGACTTCCAGGCATGGGCACGCGCGCACACACACACACAAATGCAAAAATACCCCCCAAAAGAGAAAGAAATATCAGTAGGTTCAATCCTCCCTGTTTTACTGCTAAGACAAGAAGTCAGAAGGGTACTCTCAATCCGATTCTTCTGACTGTAGTCTATTCTACATGGATCATGTGATTCCCTCTATAACACTGTGAGTAGTAGGTCTAAAGGGGGTGCCTCCGGCCTTTTGTGCAAGTGGGAAAGGTTGCAGGATCCCACCTGTTTCAAGCCTCTCTGGTACGCTTCTTATCTGTGCAGCCATGAGGACTAGAAACATATGTCAAACAAAGTGTTGTGCTGCTTGGGTTGCTGCATCCTGTTCACTGTCAAAAAGTTTGGTTTTCGTGCTTGTGTGTGTCCTGAAACATAAGCCAAGATTTTAAGATGGTGTTAATGTTAACATTGGTTAGTAAAATGTCTGCCTTGCTGCTACGTGCATGGTGAATTTATGCTACCACTGTCTTTCCTTCCAAATCTGGGATGGTTCTTATCCTGTTTTGTTTTGTTTTTTTTAAAACAAAAATTATTTCGACAACATATTAAACATTATTCTGCCACCATGAGGAGTCAAAAACTTCTTTTTAAATTAAACAAAAATTGCGGGAACTGGAACTCTCAAGAACTCTCAAGGTTGTGTAAAACTACCTTGCAATCCAGAAGTTTGTTTATGTTGTTTATTTCCATTCTTTATCGTCCACCTTTCTCACTGAGATTCAGGGCAGATTATACTGTGAATCAACACAATCAGTAGGATGATAGGAATTGCAGAAATTTGAAACAGAACAGTTGTCTGAGCAAAGCATAAATGTTGAATATGGCGTGCTAAATGATGGAGAATGTGGTATTATATCAGTAGAAACTCAGTTTCTTTTCCTGGATCAAAGTTTGAGTCCAGTGGCACCTTTAAGACCAACAAAGTTTAATTCTGGATACAATCTTTTGTGTGCATGCACACTGCTTCAAACACACGAAAGCTTATACCCAGAATTTTGTTGGTCTTAAAGGTGCCACTGGACTCACTCTTTGGCTGTGGTCACACACACTAAATAATCCACTTTCAAACTGGATTTTTACTGTATGAACTGGCAAAATATCAGTGGGCCAGTTTGGTGTAGTGGTTAAGTGAGTGGACTCTAATCTGGGAGAACCGGGTTTGATTCCCCACTCCTCCACTTGCACCTGGCTGGATGACCTTGGGCAAACAGTAGTTCTGATAAGAGCTGTTCTTGAAAAAGAGCAGTTTCTGTCAGAGCTCTCTCAGCCCCACCTACCTCACAGGATGCCTGTTGTGGGGAAGGGAAGGGAAAGGAGTTTGTAAGCTACTCTGAGACTCCAAGTGAAGGGTGGCGTATAAATCCAATCTCCTCCTCCTCCTCCTCCTCCAAAATCCACTAGGAAAGTGCATTGAAAGTGGATTATTTAGTTTGTGTGTGACCACAGCCTTTGTTCTGCTGCTTCAGACCAACACAGCTACCCCACCTGAATCTATTTTCCTGGATCAGTATGGTATTTCCTTTATAAAAATGTCCTCCTGAACAATTCTATGCGTCTGCGAAATGCCAGGATTGTGGGAGTTTTCCTGACCTCCTCGGGTCGACCATTCCACAGGGTGGGGGTGGGGGGGGAGACTACAGAGAAGGCGTGTGTACAGGCATGTATTGTTGGTCGTGCCCATCTGCAAAAGGCCCTGCTCACGTGAGCAAAGTCATGGTAGGACTCAGGTAGAGAGGCAGTCTGCAGATAATGAGGATTCAAGGCTGTGAAGGGCTTCATATGTGAACTCAGTAACCGCCAGCGGAGCAACTGCAGAATGGGAGTAATATGCATGCTTCGGCTAGCTTCAGATAATACCCAAGGTGTGGCATTCTGTACCAGCTGGAGTCTAAACTACCTTGCAATCCAAGTGCCGTCTGCCCCATGTTACAGCATTATATTTCTGTGCGTGTGAAAATAAACTCGGGTTTCTTGCTTTCTGGCAGCACATGGACCGGTCCGGCCTGGAGTCCTGCACAGAGCATCTCTTCAGTCCTCATCTCTATACAGTCCCTGATGACTGAGAACCCTTATCACAATGAGCCTGGCTTTGAACAGGTAAGGAGGCTGGGTTTTGGAAACTTTTATCTACTTTTAATGGGCACCATCCTCAGATAATTTTCTTACCCTTATCTTGAGCTTGGGGGGATTCTGTGCAGGCAGGACTCTCTCTCTCTGATTTATATCTGACCCCTCACCACCACCACCCCCAAGACATATTTCTGGTCTTAGAATGTGATCTTGTTGTCTAAAAAAGAAAGCCTCAAGTGATGTGGTGCGGCCATTGCCCATGCTGTGGCCAGCGAGGGTTCAGAATTAATGCAGCTTGTGGAACCCTCTGCCACCAGCAGTTGAGGCTGATGGAACAGCTCATTTTGGGAAAGCTAAGGGTCTAATCAAAAGCTGTGACAAGATGCTCCTTTTAGCCAGACCCTGCTGTCTGGCGTGCTACAGAGTCCTGTAGATGGATCCGCCTTCCTGGTTGTGTTATAAAAGCCAGCGTATTGAATAGGCTTTCTCCTGCTGCATCCAGTCTTCAAGGCAGGACTGTTTATCCGCCAAGGAGCAGCATGCATGAGACCATCTGCTTCTTCCGTGGGTCAGGGAGGCCAGAGGGTCTAGTCTCATAATTGAGAGAGGTTCTGGGTCTAGTCTCATAATTGAGAGAGGTTCTGGGTTTCTGCAGGGGTGGGGGATTCCCATACTAAACTAATTTACGTGGAAGCATACTGAGCTGTCCCTTTACAGTGTATAGGTTTTAAGTATGATTTAAAATGCTCCCTTTTAAATTAGCGATGGAAGTAAACAATTTTTCCTGACGGGGAACTTCAGTGAGAGGCAAGCTCAGTGTCTGATCCCCTCCCGGCATGACAGAAGATGGGAGGCTTCGTCTGTTCCTTTTGGACTTCTTAAATAGAGCCCTTTTGGGCGACTGATCTCTTGCAGGAGCGGCATCCAGGAGACAGTAAGAATTACAACGAGTGCATCCGGCACGAAACGATCCGAGTCGCCGTGTGTGACATGCTGGAAGGCAAATGCCCTTGTCCGGAGCCTTTACGGTAGGTGTGCCCTTGGGGGGAGCGGGGGCAGCACGGGGTCTTTAACATGTGGGGTCTCTGGGCTGTGGGGTGGGGGAGAGAAAGGGGCTGGGAAACTGCCTGTCGATGGGAAGGCTGAGGCCAGCCACTCAGGCAGCTGCACCATTTTGCTGCTATTTTGGAGGGCAGATTCTGGTCATGTGGTCTCAGTTTTGCAAAACCCTAATCTTACGTGTTAGTCGTCCAGTCAGTGTGTTTCTGGACACAATCCAAAGGGTGGGTTCTTACTAGGGGTGTGCATTCAGGTCTACCCAAAACAAAAATATACCTAAAGAAACCACCTTAGTGCAGCCGACTGGTGGCAGCCCCGTAGGATTTCCAAAGCAAGAGACATTCAGAGGTGCTTTGCCATTCCCTGCCTCTGCTTAGCGACCCTGGACTTCCTTGGTGGTCTCTCATCCAAGTACTACCCAGGTCTGACCCTGCTTAACTTCTGAGCTCTGACAAGATTGGGCTACCCGGGGCCATATAGGTCAGGGCATTTCTGGGCTAGGCTTTAGCTGATGTTTCCACAGTCCAGCGAGGGGTAGAAACCTCAGCCATCTGTTGTGTGGCATCATGGTTAGAAATGAGCTGGGTGCCCCCTGTCCAAGCCTCAGCCCCGCTGTGATCTCATGGCGTAGCCTTCATCCAGTTCCTTTCTCCACTTCCTTTCTGTAATTATTAACATAGCTAACAAAATTAAGCTCCTTGAGTGATTGCAGTGAATTAAAAGAATTCAACTAACACATGAATTATAAAATCAGCATGTTATGTTTGGTGTAGTGGTTAAGTGCGCGGATTGTAATCTGGGAGAACTGGGTTTGATTCCCCACTCCTCCACTTGCACCTGCTGGATGACCTTGGGCAAGCCATAGTTCTGGCACAGCTGTTCTTGAAAAAGAGCAGTTTCTGTCAGAGCTCTCAGCCCCACCTACCTCACAGGGTGTCTGTTGTGGGGAGGGGTAGGGAGAGGAGATAGTAAGCCGCTCTGAGACTCCTTTGGGAGTCTTCTTCTTCTTATGGGGAAGTGGGATGAAACAGGCCAGTTTTCTAACATTCTTATGGTCATGAAGTTCTGATAGTATCAGGCTGGGGCGTTGTCAGGATAAGATCTTTAAAAAAACAAACCTGACCTGGATCGCCCAGGCAAGCCTGATCTCGTCAGATCTTGGAAGATAAGCAGGGTCAGCCCCGGCCAGTATTTGAATGGGAGACCTCCACGGAATACCAGGGTCGTGATGCAACAGAGGCAGGCAGTGGCAAACCACCTTTGAACGTCTCTTGCTTTGGAAACCCCACTAGGGGCCGCCAGAAGACAGCTTGACTTGATGGGGGGGAAAAGCAAACCCTAGCCAACCTTGAACAGTCGCATTCAGGGTTTATGGAATAATATATGGAGCATTCAGATAAATTAGGAGAAAATGTTTTACATATCCAAGGCATTGTTTAAAGTGGTATATTTTGAGAGCACAAAATAGGTGCAGTACACATATTTCCAGTATATATAACACTGCTGAATACCAAGTCAGGCCATTGGTCCGCCCTGTCTTATATTATCTGACTGACGGAAGCTCTCCAGAGTCACAGGCAAGGAGGAGGGGTCTAACCCTAAAATGGATACCTGTGTGATCCTTTTGTCTGGAGATGATGGCAGTTGAATCTGGGGCCTTCTGCGTGCCAAGCCAGATGCTCTGCCCCTGAGCCGTAGGGGCCCTCACACCAAGTTTCTGAAGGCTCAAAAAATAGCCTTGCCCCCACTTTATCCACAGTTTCTGCCCCAAACCACCCAGCAGACTTTCTTACTGAACAGGGGATTCTAACACGGGCCCCTCTCCTTGGCAGTGCTGTTGTCTCTCCCGTGATTTTTGGGACGATTGCACTGCATGCATGCGTGTGAGAAATTGGTGGAAGCGAGTCCCTTTGCTGCTGCAGCCTTATGCTTTCTCGGTTTTATTTGCCAGGGGAGTTATGGAGAAATCCTTCATGGAATATTACGATTTTTATGAGGGGGCGTGCAAAGAGAGGCTCCATCTCCAGGGACAGACGATGCAGGTAAGGACTGGCTAATGTCTCAGAAAACCTAAACAACTGAGGAACTGACATCACGGCCTCCCTTTCAGGTGTGAGGTTTTTAACTCAGCAGAGGATTTCCTACAAATGAGTTATTTGAGTTATTCAATTGAGTTACTCATTTGAGTTACTACTCCTACAAATGAGTTACAATTTCCTACAAAATGAGTTACAATTTCCTACAAAATGAGTTACAATCCAGCAAAAAGCTCCCCTGTGCAAGCCCAATTTTGAGACTCATTTAAGAGGGGCTTGTGCAAGAGAACTTCCCTCCGGTTTTTGCTCTTTAGACCTTGAGCCATATCTTGGAGAAGCACATGCAGAGTGTTATTGCCCCACTACACACAAGAAGCAAAAAGCATCATTAAAAATCCCAACAAGAACAGGCAATGTTTACCTGTACAAAATGTAGGCATTTTAGCTCCTGATGCATGCAGGATAACTGCAATGCAGCACAAGGCATGGTTTTCCAGCTGGACTTGATCCAAGTTTCTGGGTTTATCCCCCCATGGCTTCATTCGGTTTTTTGGAAGGGTATCTGACAGAGCTTGTTTGTAGCCGGCTTAGGAAGGTCTCTCTTCCCAGCCGTCTCTGACAGTAGCCTCAGCAGGTCTTTCCTCAAGTACTTGATTCGCATGCTCTTTCCACCTCCAGGATCCTTTCGGCGAGAAGCGAGGACACTTTGACTATCAGTCCCTCCTAATGCGTTTGCAAGGGATCCGTCTGAAAGTGCAGGAGAAGCACCAGCAGGAGCACCCGGACATAGACTCAGAGAGCAGCTCTTCCG